GAAAATATTTTGTATATATATATATATATATATATATATATATATATATATATATATATATATATATATATATATATATATATATATATATATATATATATATATATATATATATATATATATATATATATATATATATATATATATATATATATATATATATATATATATATATATATATATATATATATATATATATATATATATATATATATATATATATATATATATATATATATATATATATATATATATATATATATATATATATATATATATATATATATATATATATATATATATATATATATATATATATATATATATATATATATATATATATATATATATATATATATATATATATATATATATATATATATATATATATATATATATATATATATATATATATATATATATATATATATATATATATATATATATATATATATATATATATATATATATATATATATATATATATATATATATATATATATATATATATACAAACTAATTAATCTACATTATACAACGGAAAAAAAAATCAATTTAAAAGAGGCTTCTCCACATCGTACTCACTTTCTGATGATGAATTCGTCATGTTATTATTTAGAAATCCTTCATTCCTTTTTGCCCATAACACGAAATATAGACCCGTAAACATCAGAAACATACCAGCAAGGCTGCAGAACGAAAAAAATTCAATCGTTTTAAAAAAAAAAAAATTGATAAAATTGACTGAAACAAAAACAGAGAATTAAAATAAAATATATATACCTTCCTGTAGTAATTGTGTCCCTTAAGGTTACAGCAGAAAGAACTACAGTTAACAAAGTTCCAACAGGACTAAAAACAGAGACCAAAACTGGCCCTCTTTTCTTCATTGCCCAATTATTGAAACTTACACATGCTCCACTAACAACACCTGCCTATTATAAACCACAAACAATGTTTAAAAAAAATCGACGATTTAACTTATATACATTTGACAAAATATCTTAAAGTCAGGTAACTCGTCTGTATGACGAGTTGCCTGACTTATTTGATAAGGGATGGATGAATTACCAATAACGAGTAGCCAATTAAGTCGCGAATACTTAAGAGGGGCAATCCAATTTCCATCGATCCGTGTTGAATTAATTGTACAATTACAGTCAATACCATGCCTATAAGTGATGTTATAGCACATAAAGAGATTGGTGCTGGAAAATCACCTAATGTTGCTGCCTGCAAATTCAAAAATTTGAATTAGTAAATTTCTTGTTAATCTTCTCTGTATCATTCCAATTTTGTGTACTCGTGTGTGCACCTGTAAGACTATATTGCTCGATAACACGAGTATAGCTGCCATGAGATACAATGAACCTTTCATCTTTTCCAAATCGAAAAAGTTGTATTTGTGATGAGGAGGTGAAGATGGCAAATCTATTTGAGGATTTGTTGTATTTTGCATTAGGCTCATAAGTATTGCCCCTGTAACACACATTAATGTTCCTGCAATTTTAGCTCTGCTGTATTTGCATCTTAGCTCCACTTTCTCTAATCTGTACATAAAAATCAAATTGAGGCTTGTAACGCGTAAATTTCAAGTAAATTGAGGTCAGCTATGTAAACTCTCGTGGTTTTAACTTGTAGGTAACAAGATTTTTTTGACAATATGTTGTTAAATTAGCGATAGATATTTGTTGTTTAACAACAGAAGTTATCCGTCACTAATTTCTACATGCAAAAAGATAAAAAATTGAAATTGGAAGGTGAAATACCCAAAAGCCCAAGCAATAAGAAAGATGAGTCCTGGTGCAAGATTTGGCATAGCTGTTGCCATTGAAGGTGAAGTAAATTTGATTCCTTCCATGAACAAAGATTGGAATAATGTGACCCTGAAAAACAAATTACAATTTGATGAGCTCACACTAAATACTTCTAACGACAAAAAGGTTCAATGACTATGTTATTCAGATTCTCTAAAAATGATGTTAATTAATCCTCCAAAAATGCACGGGATGATCCAACTAATGGACACACAACCAAAAGCATTTTTGAACAGTCAGAGCAATATAGGTCAAACATACCTAATTTTTACCTTGTTATACCTTCTTTGCCCCTTGAATCTAGCAGACCTCTAACTTAAAGCATAACGGAGGATAAAATTAAACTAACTTTAATTTTCATTAGATACAAATGATTTTCAAAAAAAAAACAAAGAGGAGGAGGAAAAGAAGAAAAATGACTTACCCTCCAAAAGAAATTAGAAATAGTTGAATCAATAACTTTAAACTCATTTGCCTGGGCCATTGACTCCTGTATTCAACATTAATATGCAAACATGAGCAAAACTAATTAATATATTAATATGATAATTAATGAAATAAAAAGATATAATTAGTACCTTTCAAATATGAAAGAAAAGGGACAAAGGATGAGAAAAGTAGCCAATGAAGACAAGATAATGAGAGATGAAGGTTTGAAACCTAACAACATAAGATAACTTGAAACCACTGAATTTCCTGCATACATGAATTGTACCCCTATTAACCCTCCTATTATTGAGAAATCTTCTATAATTTCCCTTTTTCTATTTGAAGATCCCATAATCATCTTTTCTCTTTGGTAACAAAGAAGAATTTTTGATATCCCTCTCTGACTTAGTTTGTCCTTCTTTGTCTTTATTCAACAGAAATTTCGATATCTCTCTCTGGCTTAATTTGTCCTTCTGTCTTTGTTCACAAAGAAATTTCGATATCCCTTTCTGGCTTAATTTGTCCTTCTTTTCCTTTGTTCACAAAGAAATTCCGGCCTTCTGACTTAATTTGTCCTTCTTTGTTTTTGGTCCCAAAAAATTTCAATTCTTTGCTTTGTTTACAATGAAATTTCGATTTCTATGACTTAATTTGTCCTTCTTTGTCTTTGTTCATGTAGAAATTCCGATATCCTTCTACCTTCTTTGTCTTTGTTCACGCAAAAATTCCGATATAACCCTCTGGGTTTGTCCTCCTTTGTTTTTGTCACACACAAATTTTGATATCCCTCTAACTTAATTTGTCCTTCTTTGTTTTGTTCAATAGAAATTTCGATATCCCTCTAACTTAAAACTTAATTGTCCTTCTTTTATCTTTATTCACACAAGAAATTTTGATATCCCTTTGGTTTAATTTGTCTTTCTTTAATTTATATTTGTACCTTTTCATGCATGCATGCATGAAAAATAAAAATAAAAATTTATGCTTTTCTTTTTTCTTCAGCTAACATTCAAAGAAGAAACACAACGAATATTCTTCCTATGATCTACCTGTCAAGGCTGTTGTTACATTTAATTATTAATAATATTTTATAATGATGTATTTATTTATTTTTAACCATATTTAGTACTTGCTATCTTTAGTTTCCCTTCATATATTTGTGGTGTTTATCTTTAGCTAAATCCTTTGGCTATTGATATCTCAAAAATCGTACGAACCATTTATTGTTTTTCAAGGATTGACTAATTGCGTTCAAGTTTTTAAACTTGTGGATATTTTATTTAGACATTTGAATTAAGTCTTATTTCAATTGAATACCTTAACTTCTCATAAAGTGTTCCAATTAGACGCATTTGATTCAAAAAAAAATTAAATGATTGCGTATGTGTTCGTTCATCTATTAGATAGTTAAGTTAACCACATAAAATATATCGTCTACTTTAAGTATATGCCTCATCTTTAATGTCTAGGATTTTACAGCTTATTGAGGTGACTGCATATAACTAAAGAAACTAAACATATTTTATGTGGTTAACTTAATTATCTAATAGACCAATGCAAACACACGCAAAATAATTTCCAAAATCTGAATGCGTCAATACTTTATTAGAAGGGAGTTTCACCATGGTGGACACGACGTAGGAAGCGAGGTTGAGATGGTTTCGCCATGGAGATGAGGAGAAGTGCAAAGGTCCATTGAGGAGATGCAAGAGGTTGGATATAGGTATGAGGAAAGGTAAAGGTAGACCGAAGAAGTATTAGGGAGAAGTGATTAGACAGGACATGACATAGCTCCAACTTACCGAGGACAAGACCCGAGGGTGTGGAGGTCAAAATTAGAATAGAAGGATAGAGGGTAATGGAGTGTTGTTTGTCGTAGTAATAACCTTATTCTTGTAATGTATTGCTTTTGATTTCTTTTATCATAAGTGATTGTTGTGCTTCAGTTATCACATTATGTTGTTGTTGATATTGCTACTATTGTTTCTTTTGACTAGGTGCTATATTTTCTTCTCTATCATTTTCTCCCTTTTCATACCTACTTTGATTTGTTGTACTCGAGCATAAGATTTTTCGAAAACAACCTCTACCTCCACAAGGCAGAGGGAATGTCAGTGTTATTATATCCTTCTCACACTCTATTTATGAAATTTCATTAAGAATAATATTGTTGTTATTTATGATGTGTTCAATTGAAATGAGGCTTAATTCGAATGTCTAAATAGAAAATCTTAGAGAAGTTCAAAATGTTACATGCTATATATGCATATATATAGAATAGGGTCAAAGTTTTGTTGAATTATTACATGTCAAGATCTTATAAACAAAATGTTATATATGCAAAGCTATGCCAAAAATTCATCAACTTGAACTGGTCAAGAAATGCTCTGAGCAGCTACTAAGCAAAAGGCAGCAAAATTGTTTCTTCTCTAAGTACTTGAGCAGCACTACGAAACCCCATCAAGAAGATGAATTCAATTCAAAAATCATCTTTATTTCCAATCAGGCACAAAATGAAATTAGTTCTGAAATTGCCCTGTTTAAGGACTTTCAAATCTTGAATTCTGGTTCGACGCCTAGTGCTTATTCTCTGGTTAATTTGATCCGTTCATGTACCAATCTTGGTTGGTTTTCTCATGGTGAGCAGCTTCATTGCTGCATTTTAAAATCTGGGTATGTCAGCAATGTCTTTGTTGCTACAGCTTTGGTCAATTTCTACGTGAAATTTCAGTTTTTGGATAATGCACAACAACTGTTTGACGAAATGACTGAACCAAATGTTGTTACTTGGAATACGTTGATATCGGGTTGTGTTCGTTCTGGGAAGTTTACTGCTGCTCTGAACTTGTTTATTCAGCTGGAAAGATCGGAGCTTTGTTCTGATTCATACTCTTTTACAGCTGTTTTATCAGCATGTGGATCACTTGGTTTAGTACAACTAGGGAAATTGATACATTCCAAGATTGTGAAATTTGGTGTGGAGTGCAGCATTGTGGTCTCGAATTCTTTGATTGACATGTATGGAAAATGTAACTCTGTAGAAGAATCGACGAGGGTGTTTGATAGTATGATGGAGAAAGATACGATTTCTTGGAATTCAGTCATTGCAGCAAATGCAAGAAACAGCAGGCTTGATCAGGCATTTGATTTCCTTCGTCAAATGCCTGAACCTGATACGGTGTCATACAACGAGGTAATTAGTGGTGTGGCACAGTTTGGTAACATAGAAGATGCTGTTGATATGTTATCAAGAATGCCTAGCCCGAATTCATCATCATGGAATTCGATAATAACTGGGTATGTCAACCGAGGCAGAGCAAAAGAAGCTCTGCTGTTTTTTCGAAACATGCATCTTAGTACTGTTTTTATGGATCAATTCACTTTTTCAAGTATATTGAGTGGCATTGCCAATATAGCAGCTATAACATGGGGAAAGTTGATCCATTGTTGCACAGTGAAGTATGGTGTGAACGAGACTGTTGTTGTTGGAACTGCTCTCATTGACATGTATTCTAAATGTGGGCAAATGAATGAAGCTGACATTCTGTTTGGATGGCTCCCTGTCAAGAATCTGATAACGTGGAACACAATTATATCTGGATATGCTCATAACAGTAATTCAGATCAAGTGATCCGGCTGTTTGAGCAGTTGAAATCGGTGAAAGATTTACAACCAGATGGTATTACATTCGTGAACGTCTTGGCTGCATGTTGGCATAACAGAATGTCTTGTGAGGCTGCAAATGACTATTTCGAACTGATGGTCAACGATTATGGTATCAGCCCAATGCCGGAACACTGCTCTTCAATGATTAAGCTCATGGGACAAGAAGGGGATGTGAGTAAGGCAGAGAAAATGATATATGAACTCGGATTTGAAAACTGTGGATTAGTTTGGAAGGCATTACTAGGTGCTTCTGTCACTTGTGGGAATACAGAAATAGCTGAAGTGGCTGCTGCAAATGTGATAGAATTGGAAGGCGATAACGAGTTTGTTTATGTATTAATGTCTAACATGTATGCATTGCATAAGAAGTGGATCGATGTTGGTGACATGAGGGAGAAGATGAAGGAGAAAAGAGTGAAAAAAGAAGCTGGCCGGAGTTGGATTGAAGTGGAAAACTCGAATACAGTTACATCTATAATATGATAAAAAGATTATAACAATGCCCTTACGCCCAAAAGCATGTATTAATCTGTCCAATAATATCGTTGCGCTGCTTGCTTGAATAAGCATTTATTCATTGCAGTTGGCATCTTGATACTAACAAAAACATATGAATTATGATAAAACAAGACATCTTTGTTATACAAATGAACCTCATCCATTTTCAGTATGACAAATCGGCCCAAAAAACGAAGGAAATAAGGATTATTCCATAGTAAATTTCCTAGTAATCAAGGAAACAGAACTCAGTTCAATACATTCAAATATTGTTACCACCCTTATAAAGTTTGAGCAGTCATTAAACAGAACTGCCTTGCCTAGGACAAAATCTTGCATTTCCATCAAAGAGTTGACAGCTTTCTTTAACAATCTGCTAACGAAGTCACCTTGGTACCGATAAACCCAGCTCTATTGCCACAAACAACAAAAGACTCGTATCAGGAGAAATATCAAGAGGCGAAATACAAATTCAAAGATCAAAACTAGGTTAGATTAGATTCCTTAAATCAATCAAATACATTTTGTTGTAGATACAATTGCCACTAAAAGGGGGGAAAAAAACTAAGTGTTACATACAAGACAATTTTGCATTCAAGTATTTGAAAAAGAAAAGGGTAGGTTCATCTCTGATGCATCTGTTTCTCTACAATAAGCAGATGATATGTCTGAAAACATGGTTTAAAGCCAAGGCAAAATATCTTGTAGCTAAATTCAAGCAGATACAACCTCCTCTTGATGAGCAAAAAATTTCACGTTCCTTCAGTATCATCTGGGAAAATGAAAATTCTTGTTACCAAAATAGGCTTTGTCAAATAGGGGGACATAATAGCTCAACATAAAAACAACTGAAGTCAGACAATTATTTTATGACAGATTCCTGTAGGATTTTTGTTCTTTCTTTTTCTTTTCAGCGGAACCCTGGAGGTGACGGTCCAAAAATGATCGCCTCTTAGCTGATACTTTGTCCTACACAATTTGAAAGACAAATCTACCTATTCCACTTTTCTAACCACTTCAATCAAACATCAAATTCAATGAGATTCCAATTTACTTGCTATATGTTATAAGCAGATATATGATTTAAAATCAAAATCATGGAAGTTGTTAAAGATTACTTTTTTTATAAGAAAAATGCATGGAAGTTACTAAAGATCAATCACTAATGCATTAAATCTGCTCCTTGTAGTCTCCTAATAGACTCCGCCTGTCTAACAGTCATAGCAGGACTCTCAAAGACAACTAGACCAGTGACGGATTTCATGATAAACCTATATTTTGGGTTTCTTAAAGAACGACAAGATCATTTTCATAGATAAGATTGCTATAATTCTTGAGAGCATTTCTAATGCTGACATTGACTTAGAAGTGCTTATATATACAGATGGTGGGCAGACATGGAATTATTATGACCTAAAAGTCCATGCAAAACTTCTCCGGCAAATAAAAGAGAAGTGCAAATCACAAAAAGAGAAATAGTGGATGAGAGTATGAAAGAACTCCCTAGCAAGTTGGGGTTGGCTCTATGAAGAAGATTATTTACTTCATTAAGTATTGCTCCTAATAACATTTAACAGTCTTGTCACTAGACTGAAACAGCTTTTACAATATCTCCTTCACCCTAACCACCACGCAGAGCCCCCGGAAGACACTTTAAACATGGGAAAATCATTCAACTAACAGATGAATTTTAGTGATTATGAGCTTTCAATTATTATTAATATTATTATTTGATCGTTAAGGGATTATGAGCTTTCAGTTTGCGGAGTAAATCTTAACCTTTGGAATCACTTGAAAGCAAGGAGCTCTCAAAAACATATTCTCAGAACATTACCAATCAAATGAACCTTCTTAAAAATGGTAAGATGCAGAAACACAATTTTCCAAAATTCCCAAAGCGCTACTATGACAAATAGGTAAAATGACATAATCAACAAGAAGATAATAAAACTTTATTCATTCAGAAGGCTTTTACTTAAAGTTTTTACATTCAATAATTGCATGTGAAGGTTGCGAAAAGAAAAATTGCATCCCTAGACAGAATTCACTTCCATCCTACTCATTTAATAGTTTTCTTAAGACTGCTGATAAAACTTGGTGCTAAGATAGGAACGCACTTAAGCAAAATACGAAGGCCTGTCAAATCCCAGTATATTTCTTTCATGCTTTTGGAAACTCATGTGCCTGCAGGAACCAAATATTCCAGTCAGATAAGCTGATCAAAACCTTCCACCTCAAAATATATGTCCATTTTTGGTTACTCGGGAAGGTGTTCAGGATATTTATATTTTTTTATAAGCAAAGTTTTGGTAAATATATTAGTGAACATAGAGAAGAACAAGCATGAGAAGATTTATATCTGGTTTAGGAGTGGAAGGTTTCGGCCCAAACCAACTTGGACTGCAATTGCTTCAGGGGAGGAAAAAGACATATACTAGCCCAGGGCTCAAGTAAGCTTTAGAGCTTTAATGGTTCATCAGCATAAGCCTTGGTTTTCAAAGAATCCGACTACATACCCTTTACAACCAGTCAACCACCACCACACTCCCCCAGAAGAGAGAACCAAAAGTTTCTTGAGTTCAAGAAAAGTCAAACAACAAAACAGAGGTTTAACGATAAATACAGACCATTACTTATTATGTTTCACCCAAATTGACTTTTCCTTTGTTTTTAAAAGAGACTAGTGAAATGATTTTCAAAAGCCATAAATGAATATCCAATTTCACAACTAATAATGGTTGGTTTCATCACTGTTAGTTGCTACTTGCTAGTTCTAACTTCTAAGTTATTCAACAAGGTAAAACCAACAACTGCACAACCATATGTTATGTTCTTAGATGTACAGAGACAAGAGAGTTCACCATCTCACTTTTACTTCGTTGGTTTTTCATTCATGATAAAGAAATATTTCTTTCAGATTTCTCCTTCATTTTCTATAGTACAAGTGAGATGATAGAACACTATTGGGTGAATCTATTTCTATTGCTGGTCACTACAAATTATAACAAACCTGTGAAACAAGTTATATGGTAACTTGTCTACCCCATCCTATGTGGAAGTCTAGAAGGAGCTAGTAAGGCAAGGATGATAGGCATACTCCTCTACAATTTATACTCAATAGAAGACACTCTCCCACACAGTTTACTGATGAAAGGGAGGAGGGAAGTCATTCCCCAAGAGCTTTTCTGCCCCTATTCGAGTAAATATGTCCAATCTTTAACACAGGATGCAAGAAACAGATGCACCATATCTAAATCTTTCTCAAAGTACATGAAGCTGGTTCAAGGTATAGGTAGAGCTAATTACCTAATAACATTAGCACATTGAAATAGGAGAAGAAGGAGAAGAGCACCAGATAAGGCAAATATGTTAAAACAATCTTTACAAATATGATGAAATAATTATATAAGTTTCAGTAAAAGGAAGTTTGAGAATGTGATCAAGCCAATTCAAGACTGTGCAACACTAACTCAACTTCTGATTGGTACGGGTAATTGTTGCTAAGCGGTTTTGCACATTCAAAGTAATAACCATACTGGTTTGCCATTCTTAGGTACTTCAACATACGGTCACCTCCAGCAAGAAGACGTATTGATAAGAAAGCTCATTTTGATTGCAAGTGTTTTAGTAATTTTTTGAATTCTATGAAAATCCTTTCCTTCAGATATTAGCAATTATTAGTAAATTAAGCATTTTAAAAGCTCCCCCTGCTCCCGATAAACGCTTGGATTTGAATCTCCAATTATAACATCCACAGAAACAGATATCACAACAAAAAGATAAATTAGCATTTAACAACCACGTACAAACAGTAAGAACAAGCACATACTTCTTTTTTATTTTGTGGTAGTAATAAATGAACATGCTAGAGGTCTGGAGAGGTGCAGCAGAGTGTACCCTGTGAAAGAGCTCTGCAACTCCTCGATGTTGAGCTCAGGCATGACGTCATCCTCGCCGTAGCAACTGCATTGTGTAGTGGCAACATTGACTGCACTCCTCCCAGCTCCGACGGAATTCTGCAAAAATTAATAACATAAATATACCAAAAAACACTAGGAAAACATAAAATTAACAAACAAAAGAATAACAGCACAAATGTTCAATCAATCAACTAAAAATGATGCAAACGTAATTTTACGATATCCGGAATATGAAGCCGCTATATTCTGTAGAAGTAACTGTAGCTGAAAGTACCTTGAAAAGGATAACCGGCGGAGAGGAGACGAAGCAGATCTGGTTGAAGCAGAGAAACTGGAAAACGACGTTGTAGAAGAAGCTGATTGGGAATTGAGCTTAATAGCGGATCTGATAGACGAAATGGAACCCTTATTGATAATTCTGCTACACCTTGAAGCCATTGTAGGGAGAGTTTTGGGTGAAGATCTCGGAGCTATGGTGGATACAGTGTTGATTGGGTTTAGGGTTTTAGCTCAAAGCCCTTTGTCCAAATTCGTCGTTTCGGTCCCCGTAATTACATATTTGGTACACATATTTTCTTAAATGTAAACTTCAATCCTTACATAAGATCATTATTTTAGTTAAATGAGTTTGCTAAATTAATTAAGCCTATTATTAAAAAAAAAACTTTAATGACATGTCATGCCAATGGGAGAGAGTGAGGCTTTTGAAGTGTCAAGTATATTTGGAGGAAAATAGTGATAGTTGAGTGATATTTTGATCCTAAATGAAACATAAATGATATTTCAAGGCAATTTCCTAAACTTGGGTGACCATTTAGGGAATTGACTCCTAAAATTTGGGTCAACTTGTGAACATCTTGATTAACTTTTCAATCGAATACCAATTATCTTTCACCAATTCAAATATGGTGTGAATCCTTGCCCACCTCAACTAATTAATTTGTCAAATACATGTTATTTCTCATCATAAATTTGATGTAACTCTTTTATCAAGATTTGAATATATGAGAAAAAATTACATAATATATTATTTCATCTCCATTAAAATCTGAACGTAAAACTTTAGGATTTTTCGCACTTAATCAAAGACTAAACTACATCATTAAATGCAAACTTCAATTCTTTTCTCTATTTGAAATTTAGTGTAGGCTAACCACTAAATTGCATAAAATGAATCCCTTTTTTTTTCAATAGACAATTTCAATAGTATGGAAAATCAACATCAAAATCTAGACCAAATCTCCATCGTGGTAAGCATTTTGCCGTAAGTGTATCATATGTATATCATGGTCGTGTTATTCGTATGAATTTCGCCGAATGCTACAAGGAAAAAAAAAGTTAGAAATAAAGCTAGTCCAACAATTAGAAATAACTTCATCTACATCTTCTTGACTCAAAACATTAAAAAAACAATATTCTCTCGTTTTGATTTGTTTGCTTGATTTTGATTTTGATTTTATACGAGTTTAACAAAATAATTTTTTTGAAACTTATGATCTTAAATTAAAAATATGTGAAATGTATCAAAATACTACTTATTATTTAATTTTTTTATCTTAAACATATCACGTAGACCGTAGTTGCAAGTTGCAACTATCATCTTCTCTTAACATATCACGTGACATTAATACAAACAAATTCCGATATCACATGGTATTAATACAAACAAATTAAAATGAAGAGAGTAACTGTCATCTTTTTTTTTTCTCATTGCTAGAATGCATATGCTTACACTTTATAAGTTAGACGAGTTATGTCAACACACAAATTTATATGATTTTGGAGCTTTACTTTTCTAGCATCATTTTCCTTTCATCATTCTGTAGTATTTCGAATAATCAAAAATATATTTTAGTGTCTCTTCTTTAAATAGTATTAGTATGATATAGATGGGCTATATAGTGTAAAGAAATTCCTAATCTCTCTATATTATAAAATTTGTCTATTTCAATAATGTAATTAAATTGTTCGTAATACATCTCTTTCCATGGTTTATTTTAAGTATAAATCATGCCTTATCTCTCGAAACAATTAATCAATTAGTATTTGATTAATGATGGAAGTTCAGATAGTTCACTTTGAAATTAAATTATTATTTTTCCTAGCTACTTTCCAACTAGCCTAGTCCTAATCTTGCAATTACCAGTTCTTATTAAGAACAATAAAGAAATCATCAAGCATAATATTTTGGAATGCGTAGAAAAATGATAAAAACTCATATGCTCATAATATTTACCTCAAATTAATAAATATAAAATTTGTATTTTTTTCATACACATACTTGTCACTTATTCACGATTAAGTAACATATTCTTACTATAATTTTTAACCACTAAGCTTAAATTGCTTACTTTCATATACATATATTATGTACGAATAAATATTTATCGTCCAATAAAGTTATCCTATCTTTGTTAACTGCCCACTAAATATTGAAAAAATCCATAAGCTTTTCACTTTTCACTCTATAAGAAAGTAAAATTAAAACAAAGAAGCCGAAAATTAAGAGGCGAAGTTGAGATTTTCATTTCATAAGTTTTGAACGATTTTAAGAAAAATAACTGAATTCTAAATTTAATATTTATATATATTTAATAAATTTATTAATCAAACCTCATGCAAGCTACTAGCTCTTGCGGCCAGAGAACTTCCCACTAAGTCACAAAGGTAAACAAACTTTCAATTCTTCTTTGACTCTTTTATCTCCCTTTCTATTGTTCAACCCAACAAGAATGATTCACAAAGAATATATAGAGAGAACCTTTAAAACATTGTTAAAGAATGTTCTTTTACTTCTTTTTCTGTGTGAAATATCTTTACAACAACATCATCTTATCCATCACTATCTTTTAAATACATCCATCCAAAAAAAAATAAAAAAATATAAGCAATCAAATCATAAACACAATGAAAAGATCAAAACCACCATTCCAAAAAAAGTGGTCCACTTTGATGTTGTTCTTCTTCTATTTGATGATGACGTGTCATGTTCCAATGATGACGTGTACTTAAAATTCGGGTTTGACCCATATAGAGCTTGGACCCCTTCCACGTCATCAAGCTTCAAATCCCTTTTCTTCGTTCTTGGGCTTAAACTTGGGTACATTACTGCATCTTTAACCGATGAATGAGCAAGCCCAAGTACATGCCCAATCTCATGGGTCGCCACAGATTCTAAATCCACAGCCACCTTCGATCCCTCTTCATCAAAATCAACGGCCCATGTCTCCGCCGCGTCTAAATGGAACCTCCCGTTCTCCGGCGAAAAAGCGTGAGCTAACACTCCCAACACTCCGTCGAAAGGTTCTCCGTCGCCGTGATCGCCGCTGTAGAAACCGATTTTAATATCCGCCGTGAGGTAATCCTCTGTTTCAGTGAAATTCACAGGAATCGCAGAAGACCACCGCGCAAACGCTCGTTGAAAAACGGATCTAATTTCCGATGCGTCGATGTAATCGATCATCGAATTCGGTGAGAAAGCGTAAGATAAAGTCATCGGAGATGTTTTCGTCCACCTAGGTCTCCCGTAAAAGTAAGCGTAATTTTTCGTAGTATGTAACGAGCTGTGATCGTGAACTAAATCACTCATACCGCAACGCGGAAGCATAATTTCGTTCATCGTTTCGTCGTCTAGTTTTCCGGTGACTGTTAATCCGAGGCTTTTCTGGTAATTGAGTACTGCAGACTCTAAGTCTTCGTCGAAAAAATCGGTGAAATTTTGATCGGGAATCGGCATATAGCCAAACCGCTGGAAGTATTTTTTGAGCTCCGACATGCCGGTGACCTGACTGCCTTTTCCGGCGTCGATTAATTTAACGAAAGCATGCCACGTGTTGTTTTGAATATCGGCGGCGAGTTCAGTTAACGGATCCTGTTGTAGTATTCTGGCGGGAAAAGATGGGAGCGAAAGGAGGAGAAGGAACAGAGCAAAAGTGAAATACAAATAATTTGGAAACGGAGACATGAAGGTTAGTTTTTTCTGTTGGATTATAGTTTATTGGAGGGATTTATTAGAAGTAAAGGATATGGTTAATGATTTATATATAGTAAAATGAAAAAAATAATTATACTATAGTTTGATTGAATGTTATTTGTTTTTTAATAACATAGTATTTGTTGTTGGTTAATAGGGATAAGATGAAGGTACAAGAAATTAAAATAGTATGTGATGAAGCTAATGAAGATTCTTTCGTGTATGCCTTTTCTATTCAGATTCTGACTTTTCATGGATGCAATTGGTGGGTGAACCACTGTATTTGGTATCCTATTATTTTAATAAAAACTCATTTAAAATTTAATCTAATTTATAGATTTGATAGTAAGTATTACTTTTAAATGATCTAATAATAATTAAATTAGTTCTTTTGTACATAAAAGTTAAGGATTGTTTTATAACATACTATTACGTGGTTAATTCTGATTATTAAAAGATATACGACTTTCTCTAAATATTTCAAATTAACAAATCAAAGTGAAAATCAGACAATAACTTTTCAATGTAACGTGAGAGCAGGCCGTCAAGAGCAAGTCAAAGAGGACAAACAATACAAACTAATTTTCTAACAAAAGGAGTGCATGTTACACCTAGCAAATCTCACATTAGAATTAGCCCCAAAAAAAGGGAAGAACTTATAAGTTCATACAATATATTTATTTTTGGCCCGATAATAGCATAGCTTAAGGGGGGAATTTGTGAAGTTCATTAGGATTTAGGCCAAAATTGAATAATACGTATCGTTTGGCATAATTGTATCGTGACATTCAACCCCTTTAACTTTTCTTTTTTGTTTAGAAATTTTCTAAAACTCTATGAAAATAATGAAATGACAAAACAGATAAATGAGTTTTATTATAGAAATTAGAAGATAAAGGGCACACGAATTGTATTTTGAATTTTTATAAAATAAAGTCGTCAAGTAATTCAAAGTAATCTAGAAGAATTAGGAGAATTTCCTTTTTTTAAAATATTTCTATTAAGTTTTTCTGTTTCAAGTATTAAAATCCAAAGTTGTCTTTGCTACCTAAACTATACAAATTCCAAATCAAGTTGGATTAACGAACCATAATTAAGTCACCTACAAAATCAATATTCAATAATCAATTATACAAAATTTCTAACCTAAAATACACTTGTTTGAATGGATATTTTAAAGTATTAGTTGAAGAATTCCATTCATTTGTTGACCAAATTATTAGGTGATTTTGACATAACCTTTGAGATATGTCATTCTAAATGAATACTTGAGTTTCTTACTTATTGTAAAGCAAAAAATTAGGACATCTACTATATGTTTAATTACCTGCTTTAGGCTACGTGGCCTTTTACCTAAAATGACAAAATCGTTAAGTACATACTTGTTACCCAATTAAGGAATTGTCAACCAAAGAAACACTCTTTTTGAAACATGCTTAAAAAAAGAAGTAATGCAAACAAATTAAAATAGGGAAATATATTATGGTCAACATTCACCTTTATCAGTTCTTATTTGAATTATCCACGATCATGACCGAATTGTTTGAGCAAATGATCTCTCAAATGGGGATTACAAATTTGAAACCCTTACGATCTTT